CTGCAGCTGCTTGGGTGCAAGTTCTCTCTCTGGGCCTCCAGGAGACCCACACTGCGAGCAGACCTCTCCTGTCTCCCCACTGCTCCCCTCAGCAGTGTACTTCGTCAGTCAGCCTGTTCCGCTCCCCACTCTGTCTCTGGTGAATCCTCTCACCGCCCCTGCACCTCTGGCCTGTGCCCCAGTTCTGTGTGCATAAACAAACAAACAAACAAACAGAAAAACCAGCACAGCTCTTTGCACCTTCCTTACAGGTCACCCATTTTGGTTCTTTTCCTATGTCTTCTGTTATATTTGGTCTTATTACCAGTTTTCATCCAAATCCAGTGGGAAATGGGACAATTATGCTGTTTCTTGGCCAGGCATCACTCGATGCTGAAAGTCTTGTGAGAGAAGAATTTCTCTTTGAGATCCTGCTTTCAATTATTTTTTAAAACTACTTTTTTAAACAATTTATTTATTTATGTATACAAAGACTGGGGTGTAGGCCAGAGGAGAGAGAGAGAGAGAGAGAGAGAGAGAGAGAGAAAGAGAGAGAGAGAGTGTGTGTGTGTGTGTGTGTTTGTGAGAGAGAGAGAGAGAGAGAGAGAGAAGATTTACCAGAGACATTGTAGGGAGCAGAACAGGCAGATGGACTGAAATACACTGCTGAGGGGAGCAGTGGGCGGGTCAGGAGAGGTCTGCCGTGCCAGGTGGATCAGCTCTCTGGCCAGAGATGGAACTCATGCTGCTGTGACTGTGGATAGCTTCATAGCACTGTCTTTACCTCCTGTGCCATAAGGGAGACCTGTCTTTTAATTCTTTTGGGTCTCTGTCCAGAAGTGGAATTGCTAAATCATATGTAATTTTATTTTTAATTTTTTTGAGGAACTGCCTACTGCTATCCAGAGGCCATACTATTTCTCATTCCCACCAAAGTGCCTAAGGGTACCAGTTTCTTCCCATTACACAGGCTTTTTTTTTTCTTTTCTTTTTTGATAGTAACCAACCTAATGGGATGTGAGGTTCTTTGTTTCATTTTAAGTCATTCAGAAGTGAAAGATTTTATTCATTGGGATTAACAAACACCCTTTAAAAGGCAAATACATGCAAATACTTTCAATCTCTCTTATCTCCCCAGGTCAATATGAATAGCTGGTAGTAACATTCTTGATGTTGACATTTTCACTGATAGGACAAAACAAGAAAGCAAAAAACCAAATAAGCCAGTAGGAGAAACCCCTTTATTTAGCATGAATCAAGGCAGCACCCAGTACTTGAGTCAAGGTATTCCAGACAGCCATAATTAAAGCAATTAAAGGTTTAAGAAGACAAAAGATTTAAGCCATCCTTGACAAACCAGTCCAAATAGCTAATTTAAGGAGTTCTCTCTCTAGACTATGCATATTTAAAATGTTCTATGTGATGAAATTAAGCACTTTTGTTGCTTACTGAAGTATGTGGTTGGTTGGTTTATAAATGTGTTTTGAAGTATAGGTTTGCCCCCCACAGAATACCATTTTTGTGTAATGAATTAAGTGAAGGATAAACCATGGCTATTCAAACTTGGATAGCTGAGTGAACTATGCCTACTATCTTAGAGAAAATGACTTTAAAGTATTTTTACCAACAATAACATTTGAGCTTTTATGCAAAAAGTATAACTTTGGGGTTTTCCTGGTGCCCTAGGGTTTAAAGTCACAGCTCTGTCAACCTAATACTAGCCACTGTGATCCCCAGCTGACCCACATGGCACAGCAGATTATTCCTGTCTTGCCCACTGCTCCCTTCAGCAGTGTATTTCAGTACATCTGCCTTTTCTGCCCCCAACTCTGTTAATGGTGAATCTTGTCACATATCCCCATTTGCCCCCGCAACTCTGGCCTACACCCTGGTTTGTGATGCATAAATAAAATAAATCTTTTTTTTTTTTACAGTATAATCTTGGGGGCCCTGCCTGGTGGCACAGCAGGTTTAAGCACAGCAGGACAAAGTGATCCACAGCTACTGCAGCATGAGTTCGATCCCTGGAAAGGGAGGTAACCCACATGGTGTGGCAGATTGTAAAGGGTGGGCACCAGGAAAAGGGGAATTTCCAGGTTCCCTGCCCCACCGAGAAGGAGGGTGGAGCTGAGCAGAGAAGAGAAGAATTAGAAGAAGAAGGAAGCAGGATGGAGAGCCAGGAGACCTGAGGAAGCCACCTGGAGCAGAGAGCATGTGATGAAGAAACCATGCTTCTTTCTTGGCCCTGTGGTGGTTGAAAGAGATGTGGGTGAGAGACCCACTATGGTAGTGTTTATATTGATTTTGAGTGTGCTCTTTTCCTCCCAGACTTGTCTGGCCATTTCTGACCCTTTTCTATGGGTCCCGGCCAGAAGGTGCTTTAGACTTGTGACTTTCAGGCCTTGCTCTGGGCCAATCCCTTTTGGGTGGACTTTTACCCACAAGGGGATGGGTAACTTCAGGTGTTTGATTCAGAAATTATATTCTTTGTCTTCTGTATTGTATACTCACTGTATTAAAGTCCCTTTCCATTAATGCTCTTATGTCTTCTCTTAATGTGGCAGATGGCAGAACCTGTGTAGAAGAGGCAGATTTCAGTGGTGCCCTCTTACCCTGCCCTGTAACAAGATCTCTCCTGACCCGCCTGCTGCTCCCCTCAGCAGTATATTTTGGTACATCTGCCCATTCTGCTCCCCATTCTGTCTCTGGTAAATTCTCTCACCCAGCACCTCTGGCCTATACCCCAGTTCTTGTATGCATAAATAAATAAATCTTAAAAAAAAAAAAAAGTAGTATCCAATACAGTAAGCTTGCTGGCTTCCCAAGATTTTCCTGATGAGATCAGTGATGCATTTAATGTCATATTTTAATATTGAATAATGAAGTACATCAATAGAGACTATGTATAACTTAGTAAATCAATATTTTTCAACTAGTTTCATATTCCTCATTGCATCTAATGTTTAAGAAAACACTGTATGTTGCATTTTGCTAGTATCAAAGAATAGTGTAAAGGCTAAACTTTCTCCTTTGTCCAACTGTACATCTATGTGAGCCTGGCTTTTCTTAATTTCCTAAACCAAAATAACAGTACAGCATAAAGAATGTGGAAGTAAATATGAGAATTCAACTGCCTAATATTAAACCAGACATTAAAGAGATTTGCAAAACTGTAATATAACACAACTGTACACACTATCTTGGAGGCGGGAGGTGGGAGGAGTGTAGTGATGTTTTGTAAAATACATTATCATGTTTAAAAAAAAATTTCAGGGCATCCCTGATGACACAAGGGGTTAAGTCTCAGCACTATGAAGCTATTCTCCACTGCAGCACAAGTTCAATCCCTGGCCAGGAAAGTGAACTGAATGACACAGCAGATCTCTCCTGTCTCACTGCTGCTCCCCTCAGCAGTGTATTTCAGTAGGTCTGCCTGTTCTGCTCCCCACTCTGGGGAGTCCTCTACCCATGCATCTCTGGCCTATACCCCAGCTTTTTATGCATAATAAATAAATCTTTAAAAAAAAACCCACAAAATTCAACTGAGTAAATCTTAAAGATCTTATTTACCTAATTCAGTGCTTATGAGTTGGGCAGCATCCCACCTGGCAGACAGAATGGCCTTCCAGGCTGGAGCTCCACAAAATGGAGGAGTGACAGGCATAAGAGAGCAGGAACAAAGAGGTACGTTGTTAACACACCTTTGAGGCAAGGTCACTTTCATTTAGGGGAAGGCTGGGGTCTAGCAGGCAGATTACCTCTGCCTAAACTACTGCCATAATATTGCATTTCTGGGAGAGGCCCAAACTGTAAGTTTCCATTCAATGTTGTGGGTCTTAGCATAAGGGACCAGACTCTGGCCTCTTTTTTTTTTTTTTTAAAGCTTTATTTATTTATACATACAGAACTGGGGTACAGGCCAGAGGTATGTGTGGGGTGAGAGGATTTGCCAGAGACAGAGTAGGGAGCAGAATAAGCAGATCCACTGAAATACACTGCTGAGGGGAGCAGCGGTGGGTCAGGAGGGGTCTGCTGCACCTGTGGGTCAGCTCTCTGGCCACGGATAGAACTAGTGCTGTAGTGGCTGGTATGGCTTCAGAGTGCTGTGCTTTGACCCCTTGTGCCAACAGGGAGGGCCTGTTTTTTAAATAATTTAATGATTTGCTATTTTGGGTGAGTAAATAAATGCCTTTGAATATCTCAATTTTAATTTCGAGCTCGGTGAATATCCCGCATAAACAAAAGCTCCTGGGGGGTCCTTAAATAGTGTTTAAGAATGTAAAAGGATCCTAAAGTTTGAAAAAAGCTATTTTTAGGTATGTGCAATAATTTCCACTTTTACGAGGAAACTGGAACTTATAAAAATTTAGGACGGCTTAAGGCAACACCGTCAGTGCAGTGCGGTGTACCGAGGTCGTCGAAACCTGGACTTATATTTGTGACCATATTTATTCCCTTATACTATCTTTTGCTAAAACAAACCTTTAAACACTCTGTTAAAAGATTTTTTTCAACACCATAAAATCATCACGTTCAACAGCTTTTTCTTTCTTACTGAACGATCTTCTGCCGGAGTGAAGCCCGTCTCAGTTCGGTTTTCGCTCTAACGCGAGTGGTTTCGCTATATGCGAAGGAAACTCTTTGCCCTTTCCGCAGAGGAATTGCAACCCACCCTGTTTAAATGGGACGCGCGGGGCACCTAGACAGTGGCCGTTTTCTTCCAGCGCCCGTCCACCTTCTGGACCTCCTTTGCATAAAGAAAACAGAGGCCACGCCCCCTCTCACCTGGGCGCCCTCACGGCGTCCTCTGGCCTCCGATTGGCTGGCCTGTCACCGGTGGGCGGGACGCGGCGCTGGATTGGACGTGAGAGCCCATTCACCGCCCCTGGCCTTGGCCCCCCTCCAGCGTCCCAGGTGATTTTGGGGCCAATCCTGACTCCAGTCCCGGCCAACGCGGGGGCGTAGCGACGCTCCCTGGGAGCGAGAATCTCCATTTGGAGCCCGGGTTTTCAGGGGTGGGGCTTCGTGGGCCCCCGGGATTGGAGTGTTGGGAGTGGTCTCCCATCGTGCATCGGGGCACCGGCGCCTCACCCGGAAGGAGAATCCCTGACTCTGGCTACATGGTGGGGCGCAGTCGGTGTCGCTGTGGGGCTTGGGTGCTGCTCTCAGGTGAGAGGTTGTGGAAGGGACCTCGGGGAGTGGGTGCTGCTTTCGGTTGAAGGCCGGGGGCTTAAGCATCAGCAGTGGCGCTTAGAGTGGGGAACCTCGTTTGACATCCTAGAGAAGGGGCTTTTCACCTCCCGGGATGAAGGCAGGTGCTTGCCTGGAAACCCGGCTCTTCCATTTGTTTTTGGAGTATGAAGAGTCTCTCCTTCCCACTCCTGAAACAATGGGCAAAGAAAGAGAACATCCTTGTGGCCCGTTTGCTCCTACTTGGCTCAGAGTGGCGGCGAGTGCCCACTGGGACAGAGTTTTGGGACATTTACCTGAACAACCAGGACTAGTGGTGACGGCGATTATTTTACAGGAAGACAGGAGAATTGTGCTAGATCGTGGTCGCTTTTGTGACTTACCTTTCAGGTGGAAGGAGCACCAGGTTACTGGTTGAAAACAAACAGCTTGTCGCCTGTGATCTTTAGGAAGGATTGCCTTTCAATTGTCATCTGATACCAGGGGCTCAAGGATGAGAGGGAATGGGAGTCTCTGGGATCAACATGCTTTTATCACGGGACATATTTTTTAACTTGTCTCTCGAAGTAGTCTAAAATGGAGCAGACATGCTGGGGTTAAAGCCTTGAATTGCTGCCATGAATCATGATAATACTGGAAAGTTTTACAAGGACTCTAGTTTGTAAACAACAAACAACTGGATTCCTCCCAGAGATATTGGTGGTGACACAGGTGGCGAAAGTAAAATTCAGATTCAGATGTGATTGAAAGGTCCCCAGGGAATGTGTGTGTGTGTGTGTGTGTGTGTGTGTGTATGCACACACATTCCCTGGGGACCTTTCAATCACATATATATATATATATGATTGAGAGGGTCATTGACTAGCTTTTTGGATAATACACAGATCCATCTCCCAGATCATTGCACTAGGGCTAAAGCTAAGAACTTCCTCCTTCCCTACTAGATCAGAAACTGAGCTTCATTGTCCCCAGAAGAGTGGGGTTTGGGAGAAGGCTGATGGAGAAATTATTACTTAGTGTTGAGGTTTTTGAATTTGCTCTGGTATTTAAGGAAAATTACAACAGAAACTTTCTTAGTGCCCTTTTTTTTTTCCTCAGTGCCCCTTTTCACTTAAATTTAGGTACACAAAATCTGAAGGTCCTAGGATTTTTAAAAAGCCATTTTTAAAAAAAAAGCCATTTTATAGCTGTTTGTTTCTGAGTGGTATTAGTCCCAAAGGAAAGGAGAAGAACTTTTGGAGGTGGTGCAGAGTCCTTGGAAACTCCTTGAGCCTGAGAGAATGATGATCATTTCATTTCTAAATTGCTGTCCTGAATTTGGTAAGCCTTTCTCGGCACAGGAGTTGTGTGAGGCTACCGAGTGTGTGGATGACTGTGATTTCCTTACCATTCCACTTTCTGTCCTCCTGTGAAAGATGGAATGTTTAACTCTATGCTCCTGTCTGACAGCTTAGCAAATGCCTCGAAAGTAGAAGAGAATTTTATGTATTTGTTTGGTAAGGTTTTTTTGCTTTGATGAGCTTAATTGTTCACTGCTAGTCAGCCTGCTCTTTTTGGCCACCATTTGACTCTTTCTGTGCAGGAAGTTCTCCATCAGTTGTTTGGAAATTGGAATTTCCTCACTTTCAGTTCAGGACTCTTGTATGATGGTGACTGTATCAGATGAAAAACGAGATCGTCAGGAAATACTGTTGGAGATGGTGTGGAAACCATTAAAGCCTTTGATTTGCTGTGCATTGTCACCCAACTTTGTCACGTGCCATGCAGCTTTGCCTTGTGTGCAGCATCTGTGTGTGGAGAGATCGGCTGGTATACTGAAAAGACTGCAAAAGCTGTTTGCTCTGCTAATTTTGTGGTGTAAATGAGTTCCCCTTCACTCTTGAAATGTTAGCCTGTGTTAGCAAAACATAAAATAGAAGGAAACTCATTACACACTGTTCTAATGGTGAGGCAGAACTAATAAGAGAATGTGTTTAAAATTAATTGTGGGACTGGAAAAATGAGTGGGTGTGTGAATGGGCATGGGGGGAGGAGAGGGAGAGCTTAGAGATAGTCTTATTTTCCCAGGAGCCAGCCCGGATCATTTGTTGGCAGTACATATTGGCTGAAGTCAGTTTTCATTTCAAGGTAAATTGGAAAGGGAAATTAAACCTTATTGTTCCGCTCTTAAGAGAGGAGAAGGGGGTGGAGGCGGCAGCCAGGGTGGATGCTGTTTGAGTGGTTCTAGGAGTAACAAGATTAGTGCTGTATTTTAACAGAAGGTGACATCATGGCCCCCTTTGGACTTGAGTAACCCTGTGCTGTAGCCTTCATGGTCCCCTTGTCGGAGTGGGCGATGTCGCTGCACTTGTAAACTGCCACATTGGGGGAAATCAGGGGCTTAGGCTTTAATGAATCTTTACAAAGGAGCAGAAAACATCCTGAGTCGACCTGGGCAGCTGTGGGGTGCTTGGGCAGAGGCACAGACCGGATGGCAAGTCGGAGAGGAAATGATTAGAACCACTGCCTTGGGTTCCAGAGAACCAGTTAGTAAGAGAAGGTCGCAACTGGGCCACCCACTCTTGTGCTCCCCAACACTGCAGCCTATGCCCTCCTGGCAGGTGACTGGTTAGGGACACAAAGAGAAACTTCGGAGCCTGGTTTGTAGGGGCTTGGTTTTGGCTAGACAGCCAGGAGGGGGCGATGTTAGATGCACTTGCAAAGCTGAGCTGCTTGTGCTTAAGAGAATACTTTGCCTGCCGACCTGAGGCAGAAAGGTTTTACCAGGCAACATGTCTGTCTGGGCTGTCTGAACATATCCTGGGCAAACCCCAGCAGGCTTAGGGCACAGGTGGCCTGATATAATGGATCCAGGCCACCATCTGAGAAGGGACATAAATCCCCTAGGGCTTTTAGCTTGGCACTGCTAATGTGGGGGATTTGGGCTTCCTCTTTAAGTTTTACATAAGAAAAAAATAGTTGCGTGGGGTTTTCCCAGGGAGGCCAATTAAAAATTTTCAGGGTTTTACCTGGTGAAGAGAGTTATGACTGAAGCTTACTACCATGATTGTTTCTGTGCCCTCTGTCTCTCATTAGATGTTTTCTCCCAATGGGCTTTTGGTGTAGGATGTTGGAGAATCAAGAGCAGGAGGTAAGAGTGTGGTCTCCAGGGAACAGGTGGGTAAAAACTGGAGAGGGGTTTGGGAGAAGAGGCAAATCATTACTTGGTGGTGTTCTCTTGATAGTAATTCCTGGGTGATTCTGATAAGCTCAAAAGAAAGGCAGTAGAAGGAAATCACTAGCACAAAGCATTACTGAGAAATGAGATTCTATTTTGTTTTTTTTCCATTGTTGGAATGTACCAGAATTTAAGCTCCCTGAGGATTTTTGTCTCTTGCTCATGTACTACTAGTGCTTTAAAATAATACCAGGTGTGTAGTGTGTAGTTTGTTGAATTGAATGAATGAACAGTGGTGCTACCTGAACGGAAAAATCTGGCAATGTGTAAGGTTAAAACTGCCTTACTGTGTGACTGAGCTGAAGCTGAAGCATTATTATTTTCTTACCTCCAGGAGGTGATCACTGTGCGTGTTCAGGACCCCCGTGTGCAGAATGAGGGATCCTGGAATTCCTATGTGGATTATAAGATATTCCTCCACGTAAGTGCATCAAGCTTCTGTCTTGGGGCCAGCTCTGCAGGGCTGAGGGCCAGTGCTGAGGTGGAATCAGTCTGGATGTTTCTGACCAGCCTGCTATGGAAGAAAAGGAGGGGGTGGGTAAACCTGAGAGCTGCCTTCAGGCTGCCTGCTGGCACCACTACCCTGGCAGGACTGCTGCCTGGTGACCTGGCTCCTTGGTGACCATGATGGTGGGTGGTGTGGCCTTTCTTCTACTAAACCTTTATCATGTACTTCCGCCTACAGACCAATAGCAAGGCCTTTACTGCCAAGACATCCTGTGTACGCCGCCGCTACCGTGAGTTTGTGTGGTTGAGAAAGCAGCTACAAAGAAACGCTGGTTTGGTGTGAGTTTGCTCTTGCTTCCTTCTTGGGTCTGAGATTGGCTTCCAGGTGCTTCCTCGGGAACTGGAGTTTTCAGTGAAGCAAACTGGGCAACATGCCAGGCACTTAGGCTATTTCTTAAATTATGTTGTCAAGAAATTGAACAAAGTAAAGATTGAGTTCTTCTTTCTAGTATTTTGACTGAACAAAACTGGACAAAAATCAAAGATGTTTTATAGGCCTGTTAGGCTAGTGCTAAGCAAAACACTGCTAGCCTTTTAAATATGGTTATGATGGTTGTGAAAAATGTTTTAACACCTTAGATTTATCTGACAGGTGATTGTCCCGTTTTTGTGCCGAGCCTCTTCCAGGGCCACGTGCACTGGGGACCTTAGGACAGCAGCACTGTCCACAACTTAACTTGTGTCATCGAAATAAGGCTGGAAGTAGAGACAATTTAATCAGGGATTCCACCACAGGTTGGCCACTAGCCGCGCCAGGGAGGGTGCCTGCGGGAGCCGGCAGGCCTCAGCACGTGGGCTGATGAGGCTGCTGGCCTGGGTCAGGCCCTCGTCAGCCAACTGGTATTTCCTGACAGATCCTGCATCCTCTGGCCTGAGTTGTTTTTTACGTCCACGGGCTGTGCTCATAGGAGAGGGTGAGGAGGTTTAAAGAGTTTGCTGGATGACTTGCTGCAACTTAGCTGCTTCTAGAAAATTCCATGTATGTGACCTTCTGGGATTAGATTAGGTAGTCTCATTTACATGGACCCAACTTCTCCCTGACTCCACATCCAGGTTTCTTCCTTTTTAAAATAACAGTGGATGGAGTGGGCTTTGTAAACAGCAGTATCGAGTCTGCGGTCATTGACTTGTTCCAGGACCGGCTCTGCTGCTTACCACTGTGAGACATAAGCAAGTCCACTTAACTTATCTATTCCTTGCTACTAAAATGGGACACTAATGTCCTTCTCATGGGACTTTTTGGAGGATTAACTGAAGTAAGGCTTGTGAAATCTTCAGCAGTGCCTGACGCACCCCTCCCCACCCCCACCCTAGCATCTCCACTTATTAAATGCTCTTTGTATTGACCTGGGCCTCTTTACAGGGGGTTTTCTTGATCAGGGGCTGAGATGACTGTCTTGGCTATTGAGACATCACATAACCCTCATTATGTGACCCCACAGGCCTGTACCTGAGCTTCCTGGGAAGTCACCCTTTTTTGGCAGCTCAGATGAGTTCATTGAGAAGCGACGGCAGGGTCTGCAGTACTTTCTCGAAGGGTGAGTGTACATGGCAGCTAGCACGGGCTGCATGAGGATGGGGGTGGGGGATGGTGCTGGGCAGAGTGTCCCCTGGCAACATGTTGACACACGTATGTATAGATTCCTTTCCTCTACCCTCACACCTCCGTGCCACTCAAGCCAGAAGCCCCTCTGCGGATGGGGCGAGGGAGAGCAACTCGTCGGGCTTTTGTTTACCCCAGGGTTCTGCAGAGTGTGGTCCTCCTGTCCGACAGCCAGTTGCACCTCTTTCTGCAAAGCCAGCTCTCGGTGCCTGAGATTGAAGCCTGTGTCCAGGGCCGAAGCCACCTGACTGTTTCTGATGCCATTCTGCACTATGCGATGTCCAACTGTGGCTGGGCCCAGGAGGAGCGGCAGGGTTCTCACCTGGCCAAGGGAGACCAGCCTCAGAGGTACCCAAAGTGCTCTTCTGAGACACGAGGGCTGGGTGGCCACGCCCGGGCTAGTGCAGCGGTATGTCTAACAGTAGGTTACGTCACAGCTGGGGGAGCCTTCCAGAAGAGCCTGGTGCTCCCTGTACATGGTTCTCTCCTCTGAGCATGGGGAAACCTCCTGCATAGCAGGGCCTCTCTGATTGAAACCTGGGGAGAAAGAGAGTAGCCTTGCTTATCTGTCTGTTCTGTGTCTCCCCCTTTTAAAATAACTTTAGTAAGATGTAATTCATGTACCATAAAATTCACCCTGTTAATATACAAGTCATTAGTCTTTACAATCACTATGGTCAACTTTAGAACATTTTCATCACCTCAAAAGAAATCTCTGCATCTTACCCCACCCCAGGTAGCCACTAATCAACTTTCTGCCTCTAGGAGTCTTTCGTGACCAATTAGCACGTTTCCCAGGCTCATCCATGTCTTGGCACTTCATTGCTTTTAACCAGATGATGTTCCGTTTGATGGCCCTGCCACCCCTGTCTGTTCCTTGTGTCCAGCCATCCGCTTTAGCTCTGTTGATGCCCTTCTTTTTCCTTTCTCACCCTTTTCCAGTTGCTGCTTTCTTCCAAGATCTGGCCAGAGAAGCTCTTCCTCACCATCCCCCAGGGAAGACAAGAGCCACTTTGACGTGTGGGCTCCTGTTGTTGACTCTGAAGCTCCTCCCTTGGAAAGCCCCCCGCCCCTGCGTCCCCCCTCGCCATCATACTGTGATTTTGCAAGAGCTGATGGGGAAACCTCGATGTCTCAGCCCGAGGGGAGGGTGGCCGCGGGTGGGGGCCCTGCTGTGCCTTTGGAGCCTGGTCAGCTAGAAACAGGTTTGGAAAAGTGAGCTCCACTGGACCCTGCCTGTGCGCTCCTGGAGATGGTGCAGGCGAGATCTGCGCGGGGCTGGCCCGGGCCGGTGTGGAGAGGGGCTGCTTCGCTTCTCGCAGTTGCCTCTGCGCAGGTTTGGAGATCAATCTGACAACTCCTCCAGCTTCCTCCACAGGAAGTAGCACTGCCCACATCTGAAGTTACACTTGAGGCCCAGGGGTTGCTGGTTTTGAACAGAATCCTGTGTCTAAGCTCCTGGAGCCGTGTTTCTTTAAATGTTTGTTTAGGGGCCCAGGAACGGTGCCTCAGGGGATTGGTTTCTGGGACCAGTACTGGCAGATTCTGAGCTGCCGTGTTGAATGTAGTCACAACAGAAATGCTTGCGTACTTGCCGCGCCCCTGTCTCCCCCCCCAGCCGCCCCCCTGCCCCGCACCCCCGCAGCTCCCCTTCTGGCTGCAGCGCCTGGAGACTTTCCTATTCCTTGCTACTAAAATGGGACACTAATGTCCTTCTCATGGGACTTTTTGGAGGATTAACTGAAGTAAGGCTTGTGAAATCTTCAGCAGTGC